CTCCACTCTAATCCTCTATGGCCATGTCCCTGTCCCTGGATCCAGGAGTCCCCAGGTATTACCATACTGCTGGAAAACCAGTTCTCAATCCAGGTAGACAGCAGTCTGTTGAACGTGGTCACACTTAGCTCACAGCTTCATTGCTGTTTTTCCCCACTTCCCCTTATTGGTATAATGACGTGGTCACCAGTCAGACCACATGCCTGCTCATGTATTCCGCTTGAGGCTCAGTCTTGGAACGGGATTTGCCCTGGGAGGACCAGACCACTTGCCTTGATGGCTCCCCAGCAAACAACTTCCTTGCAGTGAGTTGGACTGTCATTAATGTTATTTATTTTTCCTGCCAGTCTTTCTTTCAAGAAGTATCTTCTGTTCTTCTAGCAGCTCCAGGCTGGTCTGCTTGTTCTTTCAAGTGGAAATTTTCCTCCTCAGAAGATTCTGGATGGGTCAAAATCATTAAATTTTATAATAGGTTGTAATTTTTAGCACTCAATTTCTTATTTCATATAGCTGTTTTGGTTTTTCTAGTCATCTTTAAGAGATCTGTTAAAATATTCAAATTCTGTACAATACATCTTCGATATCAGTTTTTAAATTTTATTTCATTACTTTTCTAAAAATACATTCAATGGCACTTTTTTTCCAAGTAAATTTTTTAATCAATAATGCTTTTAGATTATTGATTTTAAAAATATAATCTCTCTTGAGAACAGGGAAGCAAAGAAATATGCACATTTCAAGTGTATGCCCATGTTATGTTGAATGCTTACTGATGATACGGTGTAGATCATTCAGAAAAAGGGACTTCTTAGACTCTTCTAATTGCAAAAGTGTAAAACATATTTATGACAGATATTTACTCTCATATTTCTAAAGATGAATGCAAAAGTTGTTTATACATAATAGCTCATCTCAGGCAGTATTATCAAGAATAACTTGATTGAATTTATAATAATAAATCCTAATTTCATTATATCATTGATTCTGTAGCATTTGTTACATAGCAGTTGCTTAGATTCTTTATAATCAGCCTTTCATGGGAATATTTTCATTTTACAGCGACAGAACAACTTAAGAAGTGTATATTACCAAGGTTACATAAAATTGAATCAGTCTCCCCACCAGATCAGACTGTATTAAATCATAATGATATCTTAGTTTATAAATGTAAAGGAAAATCTGAAACCAGACAATCAACCTGCAAAAATGGAAGGTGGGATCCCACGCTAACTTGCGAAGGTAAAGTCTTGTTTACAATGCTTTTAAAATCGTGTGCTCTTCTTCCTAACTTTTAAAAGCAATATTGTTATGCCTTTTAAAAAGTTTTAGAGAGGTATTATTATAAATGCTTAGATTTGTACAAGCTACAAGGTAATTTGAAACCCAGTGGAAACTCTGTTTCTAAATAATAATTATATTATCTTTATTTGTTGGCTATATTAAAAAAAAAAAACAACAGAAATTTGGTGGATTTACCTTAACATCTGGGCACTAAGTATGTTCATTACATTTGGACTCCCATTGCTTCATTCGTTTAATTACACACAACCAACCTATACATATGCCTATGTCTTTATCATCAATTTATCTGTTTTTCTATCTCTTTCTTAAAAATCCTGTGACATCTTGGCACCTCTAATTTCAAATGTATAGCAGAGTTCATTCGATTTTACAGAGTTTCTTTTCTTTAATTTTCTTCTCCAAATATGATAATCCATGTGCTGTTAACGTTAACACTCTTATCAACATATACAGATAGTAATTTTACATAACAGTCCTAAAGCAAATCTACTATCTACAGACCCACATGTTAACACTTCTTCATTTTTAAGGTGGTAGTATTCATATGCCGTTCTGCAGGAGAAAGATGAGGCTTTCTGCTCCCATAAAGATTTGCAGCCTCAGAAACCCTGGGCAGGGTCAAGATGAGTCAGAATCTACTCCACGCTACTTAAAACAAACAATAATATTTATATGCAGTGAAGTTCACTTGTTTTTCTGCATTGTATCCCAGAAGCTTTGTAGTTTTAGTATTTACATTTAGATACATCATATATTTTACTTTGCTTTTTGATGAAGTGTTAAGTAGGGATTGGTACTTTCGTTTTTACACAGATAGCTAGTTCTAAAAACATGTCTGGAAAAAAACTTTGAAATGAACAGCAATTGATTATTTCTGGACTCTTTTCAGCTCAGTTCCTTATGCCCAAATTGCCTTGATAGCTTCATAGTAAGTTGTGAAGCCTGGTATTTATTCTCAGATATGGTTTTCCTTTTCAAGATTGATTAAAGATTGGTAGTACAGTGGATAAGAACTTGGCTGCTAATAAAAAGTTTTGCAGATTGAACCCACCAGCCACTCTGCAGAAGAAAGGTATGGCGTTCTGCTTCCATTAAAATGTACAGCCTTGGACATCCAGTGGGGTAGTTAGTTCTTCCCCATCCTATAAGGTCATTATCATCTGGAATTGACTCAGCAGCACAAGATTTTACTTTCAAGACTAATTTAGCTGTTCTGGCATTTGCATCCCAATACTAATTTTAGAAAACAGTACATGAATTTCTAGAAAATATCCTAGGAAATGAAAGAGGTGGTTAGATAGTGAAAGACATGACATCAAATGTATAGATAAATTAGTAGAATTAACTTCTTAATCAAATTGGGTTTCCAATCCATGGACATGATATATGTCTCTATTTATATCTGCTTCATGTTTCTCAGTAATGCTTTTAGTGTAGGAGGTGTATTGTTGTTGTTAAAGTGCCATAGAGTTGGTTCTGATTCATGGCGACACTTTGTAGGGTTTCCAAGGAGTGGCTGGTGACTTTGAAATGCCAATGTTGTAGTTCAAACTGACTTTGAGGTCAAGTGCTTATCCTATGAAGCCACACCAGGTGTATAGCAGTTGCAAAAATAATTACACATCATTTACATTTTTGTTATTTAAATGTTATTTTTAAATAAAATGTTCAATTTTTGGGTTTCTGTATTAATTTTTATCCTGAAGGAATGCAAAGAGCTTACTTTGTAGATCTCTTTGAACTCTCTGTAAACAATTATATCATCGAAAATCAAAAGTTTATTCCTGTCTGTACCATTTATAGATTTTTTTGCTTATTTCCTTAACTTCTAACATTGTCTAGAACCTCAATGTTTAAAGGAAGTGTTGAGGGTCAACATTCTTGATCTATTCCTGTCCATTGAATATTTAGCTACAATTATGATAATAGCTTTCCAAAAACAAAACGAGCCAAATCCAATGCCCAACATTGAACTGGGTCCAACTAACAGTGACCCTATAAGACAAAGTAGAACTGCCCCACAGGATTCCCGAGATTGGATAGTTTCATGGAAATTGACTGCTTCATCTTTCTTCCATGGAGTGAGAACCCCTGACTTTCGGTTAGCAGCCAAGCACTTAACCACTGTGCCCCAGGATTCCTTTAATCATTCTTTTCAAGGAAAATCCGATTTAGATAGCATCTACTGGGCTTCACAATTTATTGTGATGCTAGTTATCAAGGTAATGATTTGGGCAGAAGAGTAGATAAATGAATTAACTGAATGTTGTTATTGTTAAGTGCCGTTGAGTTGGTTCTGACCCATAGAGACACTGTATAGAGTTTCTGAGGAGCAACTGGTAAACTGTTTACCTTGTGCTTTAAGCATACTTTGCAGTAAGGTGCACTAACCCTCAGCACATAGTCTCAAATATACCAGCACTGTTATATTCAATTACTTTTCATTTCAAAAAATTTTCACACATATTTTTAGTACAACTGGCTGTCCATATTATAAAAGATCACCATCCCTACTTTACACTTCACTGAAAAATGATGTTGTTAAGTGCCATCAAGTTGGTTCCAACTCATAGTGACCCTACATGGTTTCCAAGGAGTGACTGCTGGGTTTGAACAACCTTGTAATTACCAGTCCAATGCTTATCCTACAGCACCACACTAAGACACTAAGATATGTAGTTGTTGTTAAATGCCATTGAGTTGGTTCTGACTCACAGAGACATTGTATAGGGTTTCTGAGGAGCAGATGTTGGGTTTGAACCGCTGACCTTACAATTCAAACTGACTTTGTGATCCAGCGCATTGTCCTGCAGCACCACTCCATGACTCCCATTAATCATTGTTATTGTTGTTGTTTTTAAGTGCTGTTGAATTGGTTCTAACCCATGGAGACCCTGTATAGGGTTTCTGAGGAGCAGCTTGTGAGTTTGAACTGCCATCCTTGTGGATCAAATTGACTTTGCAGAGACAAGCAAATCAAAGCAATGAAATATTGTGGGGTTGGGTGAGAATATTGAAACACTACAGATTCGACAAGAATGAACAAATCTATTTTGGAAGAAATACATTTGAGTTGTGGTATTGGGGAAGAATATTGAATTTACCATATACTGCCAGAAAAAATAATAAATCTATTTAGTGAGAAATGCAAGAGGAATTCTTCTTAGAAGCGACAGTGCTTTGTCTTGCTTATTTGGACATGTTATCTAGAGAAACCAGTCCATGGAGAAGGACATCATTCTTGGTAACATAATGGTTAGAAAAACAGGAGGATGACCCTCAACAGTACGGATTGCCATAGGGACTGCAGCAATGGGCTCAAATATAGGAAAGAAAGTGAGGATGGCACAATGTTTCCTTTTGTTGTTCATAGGGTCCAGTGTGTCAGAACTGATTTGATGGCACATAGCATCAATGGTTAGAAATAATTGAAATAGGTTTCTCATAAATTATCCAAAAGTGATCACAGAAAAAAATGATAGAAAGAATATAGAAGGAAAACAATAAGAATATAAACCAAAAGTGATAATAGTAAGGTGTTATAAAGCTACGAAGTATTACTTGCATAAATATACAAAATAATAATTATTATATGATCATTCATGATACTTGATGCTGAATGTTCTATATATTAAAATTATCCTTTTGTGTTTAATTTATTATTTTTAAATTAAACAATCTGATTTGAATATTTTTAGGAGAAATGAAACAGTTATGCCCACCTCCTCCTCTCATTCCCAATACTCGAAGTATGACGATGACAGTGAATTACAAAGATGGAGAGAAAATATCTATTCTCTGTCAAGAAAATTACATAACTCAAGAAGCAGATGAAATCGTGTGCAGTGGTGGGAAATGGCAGTCAATACCACGCTGTGTTGGTTAGTACTTCATATCTTGAACATTCTTTCAGAATGAAGTTAATACTCTACTGTGCTTTGCATACATCTGTTACTCTCTATAGAAAACAGTAATTGCAATCTGTGTGCCCAAATTAATCAACATTCATTCACTTATACTGTGAAATAAAGACAAAATACTCAGGAATATTATTGAAATATCAGATAAACTTTTGTTGTTATTTTATTATTATGATGAAAAGGATAAAAGTGATGGGGGATATTTAACAAGAGACTAGTACCATAGATATTATATTGATATACATCTGAACACAGGTACTCACATGGTACTACATTAACTTATATCTGTGAAGATGGCTTCAAGCTCTCTGAAGAAAATGGGGTAACATGTCACATGGGAAAATGGAGTTCTCCATCTCAGTGTGTAGGTGAGGCATATGTCAAGTACAAATCTATTTTCATAATAATTGATTTAAAATGATCAGTTCCCATCAAAGGCAAAAGACAATATAATTTAGATATGTTCATGGGATTGTTTATTTACATTATAATTAAAATTTAATGCATGAATAAACAATCCTATTTTTGTTAAATTCATTGTTTAATTATGGAGTCACTTTAAACTCTGGCATTTATTTTACCTTGAAATTGATGTGTAGTATAATTGAATCTAGTAGCGTAGTGGTTACGAATCGGGCTGCGAACCTTAAGGTCAGCGGTTCGAAACTACCAGCCGCTCCGCGGGAGAAAGATGAGGCTTTCTACTCCCGTAAGGATTTACACCCTCGGAAACCCTGTACAGGGTCGCTATGGGTCGGAACCGACTCGATGGCACTTAACAACAACAATAATTGAATCTATGTATAGTGTAGGAGTCTTGGTGTGGCGCTGCTAGTTAATGCACTGGACTGCAAAGTCAATTTGAACCACAAGGTTCAAGCTCACCAGCACTCCTTGGAAACCCTATGAAGGGTCGCTATGGGTAGAAATGGACTCAGTGGCACAGTTATAAGGTAAGAAGCCTTGGATTATAGTGGATTGTGAGTTGGACTGCTAACCACAAGTCAGCAGTTCAAATCAACCAGCTACTCTACAGGAGAATGATGAGACTTTCTGCTCCTGTGTGAGTCAGAACTGATTCGGTGGCACACAAGCAACCACCACCACCACCACCATTCCTTACAGAGCCATCATGAGTGAGAATTGACTTGATGGCAGCTGGTTTGGTTTGGGTTTTGTCATTTATAGGAGTTATAGCATTTGCTATGTCAACTAGCTTGTTTACATTAAAAAATTGTTGGTATTTTTCCTAAAATGTTTCTTCTAATTTGTTATAGCATAAAGGTATGTCTTTTTAAGGATCGTTCCTCTTCAGTGCTTTTCCCTTTAACACTAGTGATTGGTAAAGAATCATTGGCTATATTCATAAGTGTTCTCTAAGATTTTAATATTAAATTCTTTATTAGGTTGTGAAAGACAGCAGAATGGTGGATTTAGAAAATGTTTGAATACCTTCTTTGTGGTGTGATAGCTCCTGTGTTTTCATAGCTTTTCAAATAAAATGACTAAATAGTACGCACTATTAAATTTCAGAAGAAGTGAAACATGAATGCATTATTTTATTGTTTATCAGTTGTTTTAAAAGACTACCTTGTAAGCCACCACCTATGATTTCTGATGGTGTTCTGTCTCATGAGTTAGAAAGCTACCAACATGGAGAAAAAGTTACCTATAGCTGTACTGATGGTTTTGGGATTGATGGTCCTGAATCTATAAAGTGTGTAGGAGGAAAATGGCCTCCCCCACCAAAATCCATCAGTGTGTATCCTTGAATGATTTTAATTTAAATTGTATTCTGTTTCATTCTATGAATGATGTTGTTGTTGTTAGGTGCCATCATCGAGTATGTACTGACCCATAGCGACCTTATGCACAGCATCACAAAACACTGCCTGGTCCTGGGCTGACCTCATTACCATTGCCACTGTGAGTCCATCGATACTGCCACTTGGCCAATCCATCTCGATGGGGGTTTTCCTCCTTTTCTCTGACCCTCTGCATTACCAAACATGATATCCTTCTCGAGTGACTGGTCCCTCCTGACAACATGTCCTGCAAGTATGGGAGATGAAGTTTGGCCATCTTGCCCACCAAGGAGCACTCTGGCTGCACTTCTTCCAACACAGATCTGTTGGTTCTTTTGGCAGCCCATGGCACTTTCAATATTCTAATTCAAAGCATCAATTCTTCTATGGTCTTCCTTATTCACTCTCTATCTTTTGCATGCATATGAGGTTATTGAAAATACCATGGCTTGGGTCAGGCATGCCTTAGTTCTCAAGCTGACATCTTTGCTCTTCAACACTTTAAAAAGGTCTTGTGCAGCAGATTTGTCTAGTGCAAAATGTCATTTGATTTCTTGACTGCTGCTCCCATGAGTGTTGATAGTTGATCCAAGAAGAAGGAAGTCCTTGATAACTTCAATCTTTTCTTCGTAGATAAGAATGTTGTTTATTGGTCCAGTGGCGGGGAATTTTGTTTTCTTTACATTGAGATGTAATCCATACCGAACTCTGTGCTATTTAATCTTCATCAGTAAATATTTTAAGTCTTCTTTACTAGTGGGCTCATAATATATGTCCTTTTGTGATTTGCTTATTCCACTCAGCATGATGTCCTCCAGGTTCCTCTATATTATGAGGCGTTTTGCAGAGTCTTAATTTTTCTTTAATGTTTCATAGTATTTCATTGTATGTATGTACCATAGTTTGTTTGTCCATGCATCTGTTAGTGGACACTTAGGTTCCATCTTTATATTGTAAATAATGTAGCAATGAACACAGGTATACATATATCTATTTATTTCCTGGCTCTTGCTGTTTTTTAGAATATGTAACTAGTAGTGAGATTGCTAGATCAGTTGATATGTTTTCAATATTTTAAAGAAGCACCATATTATTTTCAATAGTGTTGGCACCATTTTACAGTCCTACTAGCAGTATTTGAGATTTCCAGCCTCTTCAAATCCTCACCAGCATTTGCAGTTTTCTTGATTTTTTGGCTGTTAATGCTGGAGTGAGATGAAATCTCATTATTTTCTCTTGTCACTCTCCAGTGGGGTCACAAACATTTCTTCATGTATTTGTTGGTCACCTGAATTTATTCGTGGTAAAGTGTCTGTTCACATTCTCTGCCTATTTTTCATTGGAATGTTTGTGTCTTTGTATTAGAGGTGTTGAAGTTTTCTATAACTTTTGAAGATTAGTCCCTTGTCTGAGATATCGTTTCTAAATAACTTTTCCAATTTCTAGATTCTGTTTGTCCTCTTTTGAAGAAGTCTTTTGGTGCACATAGTGTTTAATTTTTAGAAGCTCCTAGTCGTATAGTTTATCTTCTGTTTGTGCAGGTTTTCTTATGTTTGATAGTCAATTTATACCATATATTGTTGTTGTTGTTGTTATGTGCCATCGAGTCGGTTCCGACCCATAGCGACCCTGTATAGGGTTTCCGAGGGTGTAAATCTTTACGGGAGTAGAAAGCCTCATCTTTCTCCCGCGGAGCAGCTGGTAGTTTCGAACCACTGACCTTAAGGTTTGCAGCCCGATTCGTAACCACTACGCTACTCTAAATTTGCTCCAAGTTTTTCTTTGATAATCTGTGTAGGTTTAGTTTTACATTGAGGTCTTGTATCCATCTTGAGTTTGTTTCTCTATGTACTATGAGGAATTTATCTTATCTCATTTTTATGCAAATGATATCCAGTTTTGTCAGCACCATTTATTATAGAGATTATTTGTAATGAATTACAGCAATTTGTGGAAGATCAGCTGTCCACAGATGGATGAGTTTACTTTTGAATTCTCAATTGTGTTCCATTTTTCTCTCTGCTTGCTATTGTACCAGTATAAGGCTTTATTTATTTGTTGTTTTTTTTAACCTTCCTACACAACCTCTGAAATTAGGCTACCTCTTGAAAGCTTATAAGCTAGTCACTTCGTGCCTTTGTAGTCACCCCCCATTTTGGGGAGCCAATGTCTAAATTGCTCACCCCTGTCAACCCTGTGTACTGAGGAGGTGGGAATGATCCTTGCTCTAAAGATTCGTTCTCTCTTTTAAGCTACTACATCCATAAATATAGGTCATATTCATCAAATTGCAGCAAATTACTGGTTTTTTTCCTCTTCTTTCTTCCTCTAGTCGAGTTCTGATCATCCAACCAATGAAGGTTGGTCAAATGGGTACTATATGCAAGTATGGGTATTTTTGTGCATCTCCCCTCACTACATGTCACCTGGACACTTCACTTTTTGCTCTAGTCCTCTGTGACATCCCTGTGCTCAGAAGTCCCCTATACTGCTGGCCAACGAGAGCTCAATCATGGTTGACAGGAACCTATTGAATGTGGTTGGACTTAGAGAACATCTTCATTGCTGGTTTTCCCCCACTTCCCCTTATCGGTAGGCCACCTTTGTGAGTTCATGCTTAATTTCTTCTACTACTTAGTCACTTTTCAGCAGGGTTTTATTCAGTTTCCATGTATTTGATTTTTTACATTTATTTCCTTGGTCTTCTTATTGTTGATTTCTAGTTTTATAGTATTGTGGTCTGAAAAGATGCTTTGTAGTATTTTGATGTTTTTAAATTCATAAGGGATTGCTTTGTGACCTAACACATTGTCATTCCTGGAGATTGTATATTGTGCTGTTGTTGGGTTGAATGCTTTGTACACATCTATGTAGTCAAGTTGATTGATTGTGCTGTTTAGTTCCTCTGAAACTTTGTCGAGTTTCTTTCTGTTTGATCTATCCCTTTTCGAAAGTGGTATATTAAAATCTCCCAGTATAATTGTAGATTTATCTATTTCTTTCTTCCATTCTAGTAGGGTTTGCTTCATATATCTTGGTGTTCTTTCATTGTGGTATATACTGATCTTCCTTATAGGTATATGGATATTGTCCTATCACAGACAGCATTATACTTCAAGGGAGATATTGAAATGTTCTTTTTGATGCTGAATGTAA